AATAGGATGTCTTCAGTTTCAATTATATCAAATAGGTTGTCCCTCTACAGCTTCATGGAAGAAACCCAGATTCCCTGGGACCAGCCAGGTCCCCTGCCTAGGCCCCATCTAGCTGGGGCTCCAGGAAGTGCTCTGCTATTTTTAGGTCATCTTACTGTGACTCAGTCTCCTACTTTTATTATTCTTAGTTAGTCTGTTTGTTTTAAACAACTAGTTTCACCTTTCTGCTTGAAGCCAGGCGTGGTCAACAGATGGTGGCAGCATGAGTATCATTAGTCATCCCTTGTGTGGCTTTGAGTTGGACACTAGTGGGAACCTGAGTGGGCTGGCAGGGCCAAATCCTGCAGAATCACCTCTCAGGGTGGCTTACACAGCCTCCACTTCCACCACAAATCTTGAGGCACTTGGTGGCCAGTGCTTTTTCTGCATTTATGAAAAGTGGATGAAACTAATGTGCAGCAACACCTGAAGCCCTTCCAATATTTGTTATTTCCACTGTTCCTGGGTACAGCTATGGACTAGTGGGGTGGGGGAAATTGTAACAGAGCAATTACCTCAGAGATTAAAATCTTAATGGGATTTTTCTACCAACCAAAAGTTTCCTGGGAATCTGACTGAAATTGTCTAAGAGGCACTGATCATGAGGTAGGACAGGCTATTTGAGTCACTGGGATCTCCCCAGGCTTGCCTTGGGAAGGGTCAATCCCATGGTAAAGAATTAGTCTCCTGCTTCTTCCCAAAGAAGAGACTTCTCTTGAAGAGCAGCCAGGGCTTGCTCTAGTAGAAATGTTTCTTCTGGGAGCCCAGGGAGAGGAGATGCCAATAGTTCCCTCACCTCTAACCAAGATCTGACTGTGGGTGAAGATACTGGTTGGGACCCAGAACGAGGCTCTGGGGTAAGCAGGAGAGCTGGGCTCTGGGAGAAGGACACCTGTGATGAGTTCATCCCTGATTTGGCATTCAGAGTACTTTCAAAAAATATATCTATATCTATATCTATATCTATATCTATATCTATATCTATATCTATATCTATATCTATATCTAATCTATCTATATCTATCTATATCCATATACATCATTCAATTAGACTGAGAGTAACTGCTGGGTCCTTGCCCACACTGAGCTCTGGACCATTTAGGTCCTGCAAGTGCTGCTAGCTTAAGAATAAAGCAAAGTGTGCTGGCAAATCTAGGTCACTGTCCTGCAGAAGGGATTTTAGACAGTGAGAAAGTGCCTCCCTTGCCCTTGGCACCTAACTGGCCATGTCCCACCTCCTGTCCAAGAATGTCAGAGGCCAAATTGCTCAAAATAAAAATGAGACACTTGGGAAATGGTTTTGCCTTCTCCATCACCTGTGGCTTCACTGTCACAACTCTCAGGGACGTGCAATGAAGGCTGTGCAAAGCTTTCTTGCCTCCCTGCTATCTTGTGTGTGTTTTCGGAGAGCTGGCACAGTGTGAGCAGTCCCCAGTGGGGAGAAGGGCATAAATCAGAGCTGGTCTGTGGCTTTATTCTGTAAGAAAAAAAGAAAATAGAAAAAAATGAAGTCTTAAGTGTGCCAATGAACCAGGTACAAAGGCAAAGAAAATACAATTTGTAATTACACCTTGAAAAACTGAACATGAGGAATATCAAAGATTTCATTAACACGAATTTAGGTGATGGAGTAGTGCCAGAGGAGCCCAAACATTGTGATTAAATATACTCAGTGAGAACTTCCAAAAAGAAACATCTCTTAAATAAGGACTGATTTCTTATTGGGGAAGTGAGATGCTATTTTTTCACTCAAACTGGACAAAACCATCACTTTTCAGTTTTGTAGCCCTGGAGCATATCCTCTGATTGGTCTTTCTGTATCATCATCTCTTAGGAAAGCAGCAGAGATGAAAATACTTAAAGTGCATTTTCATGGCAGGCGAGCAATGCTGGGTTAGGAAAGTGAGAGTGTGGGACGAATGCTTGGGATGGGTCCAGGTGTCACCCCTGTCCCTTCCCTCCCCAACACAGCAAGGCTCTTGTCATCCAGAAACTTCTTTTCTACAGGTTGAGCCCCCACCCAGCTCCCTCAGCCACTCCTGGTGCTCCAGACCCTTCCCCAGCGCTGTTCTCTTCTCTGGACCCGCTACAGCAGCTCAGTGTCTTTCTTGTGCCATCCTGAAGCCATGGTGCCCCCTGTCCCAAATCCTCTGCCACCATCCCAGCAGTAAGGGCAGGTGCTCCTGTCACTATGCCAGCCCTACCAGTGACACAGCTCCTCTCCCAACAGGATTTGATGTGTTATTTAAGAAAATGCAATGATTTTAAAGGCTTTTGTTTTGAAGTGGATAGGTGTGAAGGACTGGCTTAGCTGATGGTTGTACGAAAAAGCAAGACTGTAGAGTTTCCTGATCGGCACAACCCTACAGGCAAACAATGTGCTCTTCACCAAAACCAAGTGAGAACAGACCAGTATGGGATGTGAAAGGGTGCTCTGCAAGTCGTGGGCAAGACGGAACCAGGAGGCAGGTCTTCCCATTCCCTACACTGTACTGCTGCGTCTTAGCCTACATTTACTCAAATACTTTCCTTGCAGGGATCTACTTGTCAATAAATGTGCTATTTTTTCCATGTATATTTAAATGAAATGTGGTGTTTCTGAGGTAGACAACAAGCTCTTGGAAATGCAGATCCCAACTTAGAAAGCAGCCTCATTTTTATAGATTTCTCTAAAGATTGTGCAGGTTAAAACCCGAATGAGCAGTTTTGATGGCAATACAGAGCAGCAGCACTATGGATGCTAAATCTGAACCAGAGTGTCTGTAGTTATTGCAGGCCACATAGCTCAGTCCTGCCTGAGAGCTAGCCTGAGAAATTCACGGGAGGATTTGAAAACAATCCTCAGAGACAGAAAACAGCCATGCCAGGTGATGTTTGTCTGTCCTTTGTTTTCTTTGCAGGAGAAAGTCAGGGGGTGGTGTGCACCACTGACCAATGATGGTGATATAGTGGTTTACTAACCAATAAGTTTCCTTTCTGTACTTTCCATGAACCAGTCTATAAAACAAGCCTGAAGTAATAAACTAAAAGAATTCTCCTGTTCTGACTCCATGAGAGTCTGTGTCGTCTCTACCCAGCTGGTCCTAATAGAGTGACAGCAGCACCCTTCTCCTGCCAGCAGCAGAGCCTTCCCTGAGTGCTGCAAGGCCATCAGCAACCTCTCGGTTCCATGCCATGAGCAGTGACACCTTCTGCTAAAGAAGATTACTCCAAGCGTCAGCCTACCTGGCCTTAGACATTTCCAAGGATGAGGTATCCAAAACTCTGAGCATCCTGTGCCAGTGCCTGTTTTCTGCAGAGGAAATGTTTTATTAAGGCAGGAGGTAGTGGTGGATATTTGGTGTGATCTCTTGGAAGCTGGAGCTGAGATGATATGCCGGCAGCATGGGTCACATTGCTTGAAGGTGTGGAGATGGTGCCAGGCTGTTTAAATACAGACCTTGAGATACTGGTAGCCAGGAAAAACCTTTGGCTTTTGCCATCAAGAACTCAAGGCAAATTAATACCATCAGCCATTCTTGAGAGCTTGAAGCAGAGCTTACATGCAAAGAGTTCATGTCCTCTGAAAGATGAACTTTATAAGGGGGCCATATGTGAAGATAGACAGATCAGTGTTTTTAATCTTCTTTTGATGAGGAAAATCAAGTCAGGGAAAATTAAGAAATAATGAAAGGATGTGTTCATTTAAAATGCAATGTCATCTTTTTTGTTAAGGAATTTCCTTTTTATTTTAATTCTCATTTTAAATTGCATTATGACATAAAGGTAAACAGCGATCCATCGATCTTCACTTCTCCCTGCCTGTGCAAAAAAGCCAAACCCAAGCATGCTGTGTTTTGCTGCATGTGCTCTCATGGAATTTTGAGGGCAGGAAGGATAATTTTGGTGCATCCAATTCAGGCAATCACATTTTACTCCCTGCACCAATCAAATTACTTAAGCCCACTTTTCCTTCTCTGGAGGCTTGTGTGTCCAAGGCAGAAGAGCTGGGAAGGCAGCCAGAGTGAGGATTTCAGGTGAGTCTGAGGAAGAGGCTGTATTGAGGCTGGCAAATTTCCCACAAGTTGTCACAGAGACCTGAGGCTGCTCTATGCCCTTGGGGGGGAAAAAAGGTCCATGGCAATTATATTATTATTATATTATTATATCCTTAATTTATTTTAACTGACAGTAATGGATAATATTCCCTAGAAGAAATTTCAAAATTTGGAGAAAAGAAAATTTTTGCCCAAGTGACTTAGAATCCTGGAATGGTTTGGGTTCAAAGGGACCTTAAGGCTCATCCTGTTCCAGCTCCTGCCACGGGAAGGGAAATGTTCCACTAACCCAGGTCGCTTCAAGCCCCATCTAACCTGGCCTTGTACACTTCCAGGGATGTGGCAGCCACTGCCCCACTGGGAACACTTGCCCTTCAGGAAGGACCTCTCACCATTCCCCAGGGCAGTGCTGGACACTGAATTCAGTGCTGAAGGATGTGATGCAGTGACATCTTGGGATGCCTGATGGATCCTGAAATCACCACCTAAGTTTCAGAAATGCTCCTTTTATTTACAAATAAAAAATATTTTACAGATCCTCCAGTTGAAGAAAAAATGATCTTTCTAAAGGCTTGTCAATCTTATCTGCCTTTTTGCTTTTACCTTCCCTATCTTCTTTTCCCTTGCTACTGTCTCAATAGCTGGGGTAGATATGTAGGAGACAAGGTGGGTTGGGCAATTTGTCACCAGCATTTTTATCCTCAAATGCCACCTTTAGGAAATACCTGCCCGAAACAGAACATCTCTTAGCATTAGTTGGGACATAGGTGGCACATGGTGTTGACACAGGCCAGGGAGGGGTGTAATAGCTGTGCAGCTGTGGAGGGACTGGTTGGCCCATGGCTGGTTTCTGCCGTGGTGTTGCAGGGCTCAGTAGGTCCTGCTAAATTCCCCTTCACCCTTTTCCTTGTCCTCTCCCTCCAGAACGAGCCCGGGATTACCTGCACAAGACTGGACGCTTCATTGTCATTGGTGGCATCGTCTCGCCTGTGCACGACTCCTATGGGAAAACGGTGGGTCGTTGCCATTTCCTCTTTCTGCCTCCTGTGTGAGATGGCATCTCTGAAATTAGGGCTGAGCACTGGGCAGCACTGCCTGACCTGTGGTTCCTTCATAGCCCTCTTCTGCCTGGGGCAGCTCCTGACCTTGGGAAAGTCTTGGAGAGAGGGGAGAAGATGAAACCTCTTGCTCTTCAGATAAACACTGCAGTGAGACCCTAAACTGAGCCAAAGTACTAGACAGCAAAGAGAAACATTCCCACCCAAAACAGTGGTGGTGATACCTTAAGTGAGGGTTGGTGGGGGGGTTGAATTATTTCAAAAACAATTGAGTTTTTCTGGAGGATATTGAAATTATGCAAATAAGTGACCTTTAGAGTCACTTGTCAAATTAGATGTGGTGAGCTCACTTATCTCCTGAAAGCTGGAGGAATTTCATCAAGAAACCACCCCCTCAGATTGGCCCCGTTGGAGCACAGGTCTGGGAGCGGTAGTGCTGAGCTCTCCACCCAAGAATGTAGCCAGAGTTGAGCCCAACAGAACCTCCTCCCCTCCAGCAAACAGGAGCTTTAATAAACTTCTGTGGAAGGAATCCTTCTGGTCTGTCTCACATGATGTTCTTCCTCAGAAAGGTTTGCAAGCCCAGGCTGACCAGAGCACAAGGCTTCATAACTGTTCTTCCTTTACCTTCTCATGCAGGGGCTAGTTTCTAGCCGGCACCGCTTGACCATGTGCCAGCTGGCTGTGCAGTCCTCCGACTGGATCAGGTGGGTGGCAGAGCTGGCACCAGCACCCCTGCCATGGCACCAGCAGCCCCTGCCCTTTCCCTGCACCATGGGGGAAAAGTCCTGCATGCAGCGTAGAGATGCCACCATCTGGTAGAGCTCCAGGATGAATTTTCTTCCAGCCCAAGCTTGACTAAAAGTAAGAGACCTTCCCCTCCCAGTCTGGCAGAGAACAGACAAGGAGGGTTACACTACCCTTCAAGGGAGCCCTCAAGATCTGGGAAGTCGTTTGAGCCCCTCACTAAGCCTGTGGTGTCTGGGTGATACCCAAAGTCACTTTGCTCACTCCAGCCTTGTGCACCTTCTCTGTCCACACATGTAGCACCAGCCTGCAGATTTTCACCTTCCCAGCACTGCCATGTGGCACATGGTGGTTGAAGTGACACCAGAAGCATCTTGGGCTGCCCTCAGAAAGAGGGTTATGACACACATAGTTGCATCCAAGCCAAACAAAAGCTGGTTAGGTGGGTGCCAAGCATGGAGAGATGCCCAGACACACATTCAGGTCTCCAGAGCTGTTAGGGATGCTGTGTAGAAGAGCTGGAGGAAGGATGTGGTCCATGCTAGGGCTGAGGCATCAGTAATGGCTGCTCATGGCACTGCTGGCCAACCAAGTGGGGAGGAAGTAGCACGGGCAGAAGTGGCCATGAGCGACACTGTTGCCTTGTTGTTCTTCCGGCAGGGTTGATCCCTGGGAGTGCTACCAGGACACCTGGCAGACCACCTGCAGTGTGTTGGAGCACCACCGTGACCTGATGAAGGTGAGGCGTGGGTGCAACAGGGTGAGGGCATGGGGAGAATGTAGGGGTGGGAGTGCACCCAATCAAAATACAACAGATTGACAGTGAGAAAATTTAGAGGAACACAGTGAAGGGGTTAGACCTTGTCACAGCTGCTTTGAGGTCTGGGCCCTGGTGGTGGAAGGAAATGGAGCCCTCCAGCTGGAGCCAGCAGCCATCCTGGACCCAGGAACACCAGGAGGGCAGCAGGGCTTAAGGCAGAGTCAAAGCAAGGGTGGGCATAAACCACGTAATTACACCCCCCTTACTCCTCCCAGAGGGAGGGAGGAGTGGATGGGCCTCCCAGTTCACCAGCTGAGCCAGAACTACTGTATGAACCTGACAGAGAGATTTTACAGGAAAATTCAGCATCTGGGAAGTCCCCAGGGAACACAACCCCAGGAGGAAAAGTTAGAGGCAGGCCTGAAAGCCAAGGAGGAAGGTGCCCTTGGGTGACCTACACAGATAGCAGAGCTGCTGGTACACTCAGATATAGGAAGAAAATTAAAGATAGGAAATGGATGAAAGAGCATTGTACAAGCTCATGGACAGCCCAGACAGGAGGCACAGGAGTAGCATTAGCCAGCAGGATGTTCAGTGCATCCTGGGACTGTGGTGTTGAAGCCAGGGAGTTATTGGTGATACCTTCCTTCTCGTGCAGGGATGGGTGGAAGAGAAGAGGACATGTTTGCTCTTTGCTAGCCCACACAAAAAAGGTGATACCACCTTAAACACGAGTCATTATCCACAGGGTCCTGAAAGCCCCAGGCCCATTTGGTGAGGTCAGATGGGACTGGGGACCCTGAAGTGAGCTGGGACATACCTGTCATGAAAGATGACCTTGAACCAGGGGTGCAGAGGCTTGTTACAGGGTCAGAAAGATTTTGCGAGGGTGCTGAGGTGAAGACACTGTTCCAACTACATCCTTCCCTGATTACAGAGAGTGACTGGCTGCATCCTCTCCAATGTCAACACACCCTCCATCACCCCTGTGATTGGCCAGCCCCAGAATGAGTCCCCACAAAGCATCTACCAGAACAACAACATCTCAAGCAAGCCCACCGCAGGTAGGTGGCAGTGCTGTAGGGAAGAGAGGGATGACTACTTACCGACTACCTCCCAGTCAGGGCTGCCAAATATTAGAACATTAGAATAAGGTGATCCATCACCTTATTTTTGGACAGGTGTCTTACCAGTCTTGGTGCACCAGGTCTAGGATGGGGCAAGGGTGTGATGCAAGAGTCAGCATCCAGCACAGCAAGGGCAGAAGCCAAGAACAGCTTAAGATGGCTATGAAATCTCCCTGGACTTCAGCTGGATGATGTCTAGGCAGTGAGACCAGCAAAAGGAAAGGCTACCTGGTACCAAGGGATGAACTGGCAGGAGAGATGATGTAGTGGGATTCCCTATAAGACAGAGGGATGTGAACCATAAAGGTATTAGCTGAAAAGAGGGAACATTACTTAAATCCCATTAAAATGGGTATCTCATGATTTTCTTCATGATTTTAGCTGGTCCCTTCAAGACACAGGGGAGCGCTCTTGGGAGTTAAGACCGTAAGAAGAGGTGTTGGGAGATGCACACCCAGGCACAAGAGCATTTTGCAGAACCAGGGTGGCTGAAGCCTGAAGCCTTGGATGGGTTAATTGCACAACCTCTCTCTCCCATTAATTTTCCTTCTTCCCCTTTAGCAAAAATCTTGGGGAAAGTGGGAGAAAGCCTGAGCCGGATTTGCTGTGTTCGCCCACCCATGGAGAGCTTCACCTTTGTGGGTATGTAGAGGAAAGGTCCAGCTTCACCTCTAGAGATCTGCTCCCCACCCTTCCTCCCTCTTCGAATCTGAGCATCAGCACCTCTCTTTTGCTACCCTTTCTCAGATGAAAATGCCAACTTGGGGACAGTGATGAGATATGAAGAAATTGGTGAGTACACAGCCCCTATCCACATTGCTCCCATTCCTTTGGGCCAGCACTGCATGACTTGGGAGCATCTGCATGACATCTCTGGCTGATACAGGATCATCTCAACTTGGTGCCAGCTACTGGGGCTCAGGAATGCAACAGAAACACCTCTAACTGGGCTGAGCCTAATCCTGTTGACAGACAACTGCCTGAAATAAGGGACCATGCAATGGGGACACAGCTCCTGGCACTGACACAGACCTGCCATGGTATCCTGTCCTGAGAGTCCCCTCAGGTGCCATCAAAATTGGCCTCCCATGGTGGTATCACCCCATCCCCGCATTCCCTGCAGAGCCTCACACAGCAGGAGAGATTTTGCCTGCCTTACCGGCCATGGTGTTCCTTGTTCTAAAGACTTTTAAGGGTTTTAGCCCCACCGGACATCATCCAGAGCTCTGCATGGGGAGCTTGCTGGTGGTTTTGAGACTCTTTTCATGTAAAGCCTGGCACTACAGTCATCCTGGCACTAACACCATGCAGAGCCTAAAGGTTTTGGCCACCTGGGAATGCCAAACAGGGAGGCATTTTCCCATGCAGCCACTTCTTCTCACTCCTCCGGGAGTTTTATAGCTTTTGTCTGGCAGCTGTGCAAATAATCTTTATGGGCCTGTCAGAGCAGAAGACTCCTTCCCACAGCACAATTTTCTTGCTGAGCTGCAAAGCCAACCCTCAAAGTTGGGGGAGGGAGGTGGTCCCTGCTCAGCCCCTTGTGCTCCCACCTCTGAGCTTTTCTCCTCTCTTTTCCAGAGCTTCGTATCTTGCTGCTTTGTGGCAGCGACCTGCTGGAGTCCTTCTGCATCCCTGGCCTCTGGAATGAGGCAGATGTGAGTCACCAGTGTCAGGCACCCGTCCATGCTCCTCCTTCTCTGCTTCCCACAGCCAGTGCTCCTGGGAGTCACTAGGTCCCTTGGGATGACAGGAGCAGCGCCCACCATCTCCACTGCCTCCTCCATCCCAACCCTGACTGTCGTCTCCCCTACACATTTCCACAGGGCTTCTACGGTCCCAAGCCCTATAGCCTGTTTACTGTTCATGCAAAGGATGTCATCTGGGGTGGCAGGGTAGGCCCATCCTAAGGCATTTCCAAAGGCTCTGCTCCACTCCTTGTCCCTTGGAAGGAGCCAGTATCAACTAGATGCCAGCTCCAGCAGAGTGAGGTATGCAAGTAGGAAATAAGGTATTTATAGGAGTGGTCCAGATGGTGGGAATTAAACATATTATAGCCAAATCAACATCTTTCACTGTTGGCCCTTGCTGGAAGAAGTCATATTTTCATGGGAAAACACCAGCTTTGGAGAGGGGCTGGGCTACTGACCCACCAGCTGCTCCTGGCAGTTGGAGCCATGCTGGCCATGAGGCCTCCCCTGGTTCCTCACTGAAATCAGTCAGTCAACACAAACCTCCCTCCTTGAACTTCGTAGCCTTCAAAAGTCAGTTACCATATCTTCAGTCCTTAACTTTGAAGGCATCAAAGGTATCTCCTTTAAAGGGCTGGAAAAACTGAAATGAGACAAGCCCTGGAGCCTAGCACAAAGGATGCAGAAATGACATCAAAGCACAGGCAGAAGATGCGTTCTGCAGCAGCACCTCCTCATGGGCTCCTACTGCCCAAATTTGCTGACACAAAGCTCTTTTGGATGAATCTGATTTGTCTCACCTGAGAATGGTGTGAGCACTATGACTGGTCCCCATGCTTTAGCAAATTTGGCCAAACCACCTTGGAAGAACCATCCTCCCAGACCTCTGTCAGGACTAATACATTCATCCTGCTCGTGAACCCTTCCAGCGAGGCAGAGGTCACATTCACCTTGGGCAACCTCTTCTACCACAAGTTCTCCTCAAAGCCTGACCTCAACATCTAATAGGATTTAACCCTGTGCCTTTTATTTGATCTACTGCCAACCACTTGCCTGCCTAATTCCATGTTTCTGCCAAAGGCTGTTGACATAGCCTCAAAATCCCTTGCCATCTCCCTCCAGACTATGGTCCAGCTTTCATGGGGCAGGGTGGGGTTGGCAGACAGTGGCAGGTTTTGCATGGGGTGGCTATAAAGCTCTCCACACTTTGTTTTGCTCCCAGATGGAGGTGATTGTTGGGGAGTTTGGGATCGTGGTGGTGCCCCGGGATGGAGCAGACCCTGAGCAAATCATGAACCACTCCTCCATACTGCGCAAGTACAAAGTGAGTGGGTGGATGCACCTGTGGCATGCGAAGGCTTTGAGAGGACTCACAGTCTCTCTTCTCCCAGGGGGACAATTTTGTCGTGGGACACAATGCATCTTGGGGTCAGGTGCTCTCAGCTGATGGGTGGGATGAGCAATGGGTCACCACACAGCAGAGTGGGGAGGCTGGAGGGAAAGATATCTGCTTTCAGGCCATCCCTTCACGCCTGTGTTCCTCTGCAGAACAACATCCTGGTGGTGAAGGACGACTCAAACCACCCCATGTCAGTTGTCAGCTCCACCAAAAGCAGGTGGGTGAAGCAGGGCTACTCCCACTACAGAGTGGGGAGCAGGGTGCCCCCAGCCAGCCTCTCCATTTGCAGGGGCACCTGACCCACCCAAATGGGCTCTGACAACTTTCTCTCTCTCCATGCCCTCAGACTGGCCCTGCAGCATGGGGATGGACATGTCGTGGATTACCTCTGCCAGCCTGTCATTGACTACATCCTCAAGAGCCAGCTCTACATCAATGCCTCTGGCTAAGTGCCCGAGATCTTGCAGCGAGACAGCTCTCATGTCCCGCCTGCCTACAGCTCTCCATCACTCTTTTCTCTCTCTCAGTCCTTGTCTCCATCTCTCTCCCCATCCCATGGCCTCCTGCCCATGTCTGCCTCTCACCCCCAGCACCAATGCTCTGTTGTGCAGCCATGTCCAGGGAACGGTTTGGTCTCTTTTTCTGGGGTACTGCCCTGCCCTGTGTGCATGGGGAGGGAGGAAGGGCTGGTCAGGGAGCGACATGCTCCGTGTGCTCCAGCATGTCCCTGGGAAATGGTCCCCTTAGTCCATCTTCCCAGCATGCTCAGAGCAGGGGCTGCCTGTTCTGCATCATCTAACACAACTTAAGCTCAATAAATCTGGGTGGATTTTTTTTATTAAGTAGCTTTAGTGTGAGCCCTTTGGGCCTCTCAATACAGTGACCAACCAAACCCTGGTTGGCAGCAGGCAGTTACAACACAACCAGCTTGGTGCCCAACAGCAGGGGAACCTCCTCGGGCCAGCCATGAGAAAACCCAGCTAACAAAATCCTCCTGTCCCTGAAAAGTCATGGAGAGGGCATTTCTGAAGGGGAGAAGAGACCTTGGTAAGCAGTGCTGCCAAAGCATTATGGGGAGAATGTCATGTCTCACCTTCCCTTAGCTGCAAGAACTCAAGCCACTCCCTAGGCAAGTGAAGTTGGTGTGATGTTCTATTCTTACCCAGTGTCAGAGGCATCCCACACCACCTAGAAAGGGATCTGCCGTTTATGGGGACAAGAAATTGGATAGAAGAAGCAGGTGGTGAGCCAAAGCCTCTGGTGAGAGTTTGCCCCAAACCCGGACATGTCCATATCCATCCTCTACCTTCCAGATCTCCATTTCTGCTCCATCCATCTTCTCCCACCACTCCCACTCTCTTCCTCTCCTTGAAGAGTTCATTAAATGCATGATAACCTCCCCCTCCCAAACCAGCCATGGCTACTTTGCACATTTCTTGGGACAAGCCAGACTCCTGCTCCTGCCTGTGATGCCCCCTGATGTGAGGGATGAACCCTAGTGGAGATGCTTACAGTAAAAGCAGGACAGGTAATGTGGTGTGGAGCAGTTATTGAAGTCTTGTGGAGAGGAGGGTTGCTGGAACAAGGCCTTGTCCTGCTGATCACCCCTAGGGCACAAGAACCCTGAACAGCTGATGGGGAAAGTCACAGCCATGAGGAAGGTTTAGCCCTCACCTTCTCTCCTTTCCTCCCTGTAAACTTGTATCACTTTGGGTAGAGTCCTTCTGCCTGTGGCTGAGAGTCCTCCACGGCCTTTCAAGGGAATATGTGACATTTATTTTGTCCCTTAAAAGCCTATAAAGGGTCACAAGTAGCTCTCAGGCAAGCTCCAAAGGTGATACTTTGTGCTAAATTTGGTGACCTGCTGGGTGCTGCTGGCATCCCTGGAACAGCAAGCTGCTTTGGACGAACAAGGAAACCCACAGCCACAGGGTCCTTGCAGCAGACAGGATTTTAAGAACACTAGTTCAAGGAGCAGAAGCACAGCCCTTCCCAGAAGGACAGAAGTGATGCAACTGACCCAAAGGCCAGAAGAGGTCTTTCCTTGTCAGGGATTTCCCTCTGCATGGAGAGATTTGTTTGGGAACTGTTCTACATTTGGCAGTGTCACCCCATTTGGCAGCATCAGCTCTGGTATCTCCAGGTGGTTGAGTATGTATCCCATTGGATGAGAAGATACGGATATGCCAAAACAGAGAAGGTGGTGAGTGTGTGTGGGGACTCTGCCCCAGGGAGGCCTTCAGCCAGTCTGAGCTAGTCACCACCACCACCCCACTGAGCTCCCTTAATGGTGACACCTCATTCTGAGACACCCAGTGTATGGCAGCCACTCGCTGGACTCCTCTCTGCCTGCTGTTCTCACATGTTCTGTTTGTCAGTTTCCCTTCCCCCTCTACCCCAACACACAAGTTATCCCAGACAGCAGCCCCCGCCCCTTGTCAGTTGTGCCCTGTGTTTCTTAGCTCCAAGCCAGAGAAACAGCAATGGGGGCAACCAGCCTCCAAAACAGTGGGACTGAATCTCCTGGGGAGTGACATCTCTGAAGTGGTAGCAAAGACAGTGGGTTTTCCCCAAGGAAAGAAAAGGGAAGAAAGAAAAGGGAAGGAAAAGAAAGGGAAGGGAAGGGAAGGGAAGGGAAGGGAAGGGAAGGGAAGGGAAGGGAAAAGGAAAAAGGAAAAAGGAAAAAGGAAAAAGGAAAAAGGAAAAAGGAAAAAGGAAAAAGGAAAAAGGAAAAAGGAAAAAGGGAAAAGGAAAAAGGAAAAAGAAAAGGGAAAAGGGAAAAAGGAAAAGGGAAAAGAGAAAAGGGAAAAGGGAAAAGGGAAAAGGGAAAAGGGAAAAGGGAAAAGGGAAAAGGAAAAGGAAATGGGAAAGGGGAAAGGGGAAAGGGGAAAGGTGTCATGTCCAAGAGGCACCTCTGGTGCTCCCTCACTTCCTCTGGTATGCAGAAGGGGATGTGGGAATGCCATGGCCTCCTGATCCACGTGCTTGGGATGGCAAAGCTTAGCTGTGGTGGGGACGATGAATTTGTTCTGTCCTACTGCTCTTACCTTTGTGTATCCGCTCAGTAAAACTCACAGCATGGGGGGGAGGGATGGGGGTTTGTAATGGGGCCTTCAGCTCTGGGACTGGTTTGGAAAAATATCTTTGGGTGAGCATGGGGAGAAAATAATCATCTGAGATGATCCATGTGACTGCTGGGGAGGTGAGGATGGGGGTTTCCAGGGTGCAGGGGAAGTGTGGGAAGAAGCTTGTGGGTTTTGGTCTTTAAACCTCCACTTTTTAACAGTCAATTTGCTGAAAGTGAAATGAATTTCAAATGTCTTTTGGGGAAAGAAAATAAATAAAAGGGGAGGGAAAGGGGTTGCCCTTTCCAGCTTTCCCAAGGGAAGTTGCCATGCCACCAATTTCACCTTTGTCAAAAGTTTTGGAGTCTTTTTTTTTTTTTTTTCTGTTGCTATATGAAAAAATGGTAATTGACAAAAAAAACAAACCAAAAAACAACTTTATCAGCAAAATGTTTCAATTATGTAATAAATAAAACAAAACAGAGATGTTACTGGTGTGATTTTAAAACAGCCCTAAGACTGAGTTAGAACAAGAGAGCAAATGCCTGCACTGCTGGGATAACCCATGGCCAAATAACCCCAAATGAGGAAGCCTGAAAAAATAAAGCAGTAGGCAAGATCTAGCCAAGCGTATTGATCATTTATTGACCTCCTACCTTTCAAAAAATCCAACTCATGTTAAAACAGATCCCTAATAGCTGTCCTTATGCTGTACAACAGGAGAAAGGACATATGCCAGGGGCTAAAATACATCTCACTTAAATAAAAGTGTAAAGCAGGCATAATACTCAGTATATCATGAAGCAAAAGCACTTTATCTACTTTATCAGATACCACTTTATCAGAGACTTGAGAGATAAGGAGGGGTGAGTGAATCCCCAGTGTCCTTCTCCATCTGGGATCTCCTCTTTCACCACCATGCAAGGCAGGGGCTTCAGCAGAGCTTCCAGCATCTGGTGGCACTTACCTCCCCTGAAACATTTTTCCCCTGCATGGCATCTGAAGGAAGGTGGGAGCAGTGTTAGAATGCAGCTGGACCCACATGAAAGCCGCAGTGAAGGGTGAAGGGAGAACTGTGGTCTTTGACTCATCCAAGCTCTGTTGAGATGAGTGGGGAACCCCTGTGGAGAGCTACCTTAGTAGTGATGGTGGCTCCTGAGAAACATACAGAACTGTAAGGGAGGGAGGGAGGACAGGCAGCACCAAACCAGAGGTGGAGACACATTCAAGACACCTTCAATATTTTTGAACTAATGAAATCAGGTTACAGGCACTGCAGCAGGATGGGACAGGGTTCTCAGGTTCTCAGGTACAAGAACCACAGCATGCCAGCACCACTCCCAGCAAGGGGGAGACTACCAGCCTGGGAAGAGACAACTACATGAAGCATCACCAGTGCCACAACTCAGAACTCATCTCCCCCAGCAGCCTCTCATGCTGCTTGCTCCCTGTCTTCTGAGCTGCTGAAGGTAAGGAAACTCCATGGAGAACAGGAGGAGGAGCTGGTGGTGGCAGTGTCAAAAGTATGGACACAGAGAACCTAGTCATTCTGTGTGTGCCATACCAGGACAGGGTACCCACAGATGACGGAGAACCTCTCAGTTATGAGCTTTGGGGTCTAAACTATGCAAACTCATGAGGCTGACATCTAACCCTGCACCTCTGAGATATATTGTAGGAATGGGCTGTTCTTCAGACAGTAGCACCTTCACAAACCAGGAGTTTCCTTCCTCCCATGAGCAAGGGACGGAGCACTTTGAAAAATTAGGGACTTTCCAGGGCCAGCGGGACATTGTGAACTTCATCTGCCACACTGATCCTGAGGGCAAGGATCAGTTCGACACAACCAAACACAGACAGTTCTGCCAGATTGAGGGAAGCCCTCTTGTCTTCAGCATGGCAGGTGCTGCAGCCTTTCCAGAACTGGTTCATGGTAATTCAATGGCTTTTGTGTTATAACAGCCTGGAGGAAGACTATTCTGGATATCCTCCAGGTTCTTAATATCAGACAGGATGCCATCAATGCTGCTCTCCAGCATGCGCACCCGGTCCTTCTGCAGTGCAGTTGTCTGCTCCAGCTCTGACATCTCCACCTTCAGCTGCTTGCTTCTGTTTTTGGCTTTCCTGAAGTTCGCCTCAAGCTGCCTCAGGCCATCCTCATCCATAGCGCCAGGCTGGTCTTTTGCACAGAAAGAAAACAAGGAATAGGAAAGCATGCATGAAGGATGAGGACTAGATCTTTCTAGATACTTCTTCTCTACCCTGCTGCCCAGCCTGTTCACAGGCAGCACATAATTTAGCTTCCCACTAAACTCCCAGAAGCCCTGACTAGACCCCAGTGGGGATCTGTTTCTATCCAAGTGAATGCAAATGCAAGTGGCATTGCAAAACCTACTCATGAGATGCAGCAGCTCTTCCAGGGCACTCAGCATCTGCTGCACAGCTGCCCCTGCCTGGCCAGCCTTGTCATGGACCCTTTGAGTTTCCTGAGCTGTCTGAAGGAAGAAAGGCAGCATGTGTAAGGTGAAATCAAGCCCTGAAGTCAACAGGGAAGGAGACAAGGAATAGGAGATGGGGACCCACTTTCTCTATTACAGCAGCATCTGCCTCAACCTCCAAGAGTTTCCTCTCAAATGCATCATCCCCTTCCTTGGCCTCATGTCGCAGGGTGGCCACTGCCTTCTCCAGGGCGAGGACGCCGTCAGCTGTCTTGTTGGCTTCCCCCTTCAGCTGGGCAATCTCCTAGGTGTTGCATATAGGAAAAGGCACTTTCAGTTAGGCAGAGCACAGCCAAAATCATTCTGGGTGCGCTGAAATAGGGAACTGGTAGACAGAAGGGACCCAAAAGTATCACAAGCTGTCCTCATGTTCTCCCACCAATTGCTCCAGAGAGTTGTTTCTATGTCCATGACTCAATCCCTCCTTCACACATCAGCAATCCCTGGGGAATTACAACACACATCTGGGAGGTGAACCCACAAAAACCCACAGAGTCTGCCAGTGACTCTGGCCGTAGGAGTGAAAAAATCCCTTTGGTTACTGAAAGGTGGCTACAGTGAGATGCCACAGAGATCTTCATGGAAGGAATGTGCCTGTAGAGATCATCTACAGCCAAACTGGTATCTGCAGGACTCACTGTAGAGAAACTTCAGCTCAAAAATCAATCCATCAGGTCCACCATGAGGTTGCTAACCATCTTGTCTTCTTCCATGTTTTTCCCCTTCCAAATCCTTTTCTGACAACAATAGCACTGGAGTCTGTTCTCACCTCTTGGATCTCCATGACGATTTCCTTCACTTCTCCTACCACACTGCTGCCTGCCTTTGACTCAGAAGCAGCGCTATCCACAATCCCTTTGGCTTGGTCTGTCTTCTCCCTGGCAGTGGTCACCATGCTGCTAATAATGGGAAGCCTCCTCATGTCATCTTTGGCTTCCCTCCTCTTGTCATCTGCTTGCAGGTTGAACTCTGGAAGAAATGCATGTGGAAATGAAGCTATACTACCTTTGTGAGTTCCCACATGGAAAGGAAAAGGAAGGGTTTCTAGGACGCTACCCTTGAGGCTCTTGAGGATCTGCTCCACCTCATAGAAGGTGGCATTGCCAGCACTCATGGCTTGCAGGGCTGTGCTCCTGGCAAGGGTGGCTCGGGACAGCAGCTGTGTCAGCTTCTGCAATGTACCAAGGGACACAAAAAGTAGGTGAAGGACACGGTATGGGAGCATCACATGGTCCCAGAGCAGTCTGGGAGGAGCTGGGCTGGAAGAGACCCGACAATCTGTTCCCAAATGCTTGCTCTTGCCCCTTAATCAAGACTCCCACAGGCTGATCTGCCACCAGAAGCTTGTGCCGGTGCTCCTCAACTGGCTTCAGCTATATCCTGAGTCATCTTAGCTCTAATCTTTTCAGGATCAGGTCTTCAACCTGCCTTACATGGAGGAGATGTGCACCCTGCACCAGCAGCTCCCCCCACACACTGAGGTCTGAAGACCAGCCCCAAGGAAGGGGCACCAGGCAGGCAGAGCTGCCTTTGACAGCTGGGCAAGGACAGTGGTGGGACCAAAGGCATCCCCCCAAGGCTGCAGCTCCTGATGGGGATGACCCCTTGCCAGCCAACCTCTTACCGCTTTCTTGCCCTCTTGCCCTTGTAGCAGCTGCTTGGCCTCCTCCTCCCAGTGCCCCATGTGGTTCTGCAGGCCCCGGTACTGGGCCAAGGAGGTGTCCACCAGGCCCAGCAGGGTACTTGTGTCCTTCTTCAGCCGTGAGGCTTCCTCCTGAAACAGAGACACAGTGGGGGCCCCAGAATCTCTCCAGTGCCCACCAGGAACCAACCAGAAGCAAAAGGGGAAAAAGGGTAGGAAGATGCCTATCTAGTGGCTCTCCAACAGGGATGGAGCCCTGGGAAGGGCTGAGCTGGTGGTAGGATAAACAGGGAGGGCATCAGGAAGAGTGAAAGGGAATCTCCTGGTCTGACAGGCACAAAGCCCTCACCTTAAGGGACCCGATGTCCATCTCTGTCAGGCGGGACAGGGAGCTGAGGAGCACTAGGCTGTCCTGATAAGCTGTGTCTGCCTTGAAGGCCATTCCATCAGCATCAGCCTTCAGGCCTCCAGCCAGTGACTTGAGCTCCTTGTACCTGTACAAATGTGAGATTGGAGAGCCTGATACCAGCCAAGCTGCCAGCCTTTCACCTCAGTTGACTTGTTCACATTCTCCAAGGCCCCATGCAGATTTATCACACATAAAAAGACAATTGCAAACATTCCCTGTATCCCAGTCCCTCCAATGACCAGGGCATCTGCTGGCTCTGTACTCCCAAAAACCTTACAGTCCAAAATCAGGGGTTGTTTCACTCAGCTGAACCCTCACAGGGGCTCCATGGTGGCTCTGCTGATTCCTGCCCTACCACTGTATGTTTTTTCCTGCACATCCCTGTTCAGCTTTCTAACTTCCTACAGGGCTGCTGCTAACATTCCACCCATGGTGTGCAAGCCCACCATGGTGGGCTCTGGAGAGGCCAAGTCTAACCAAAGGAACCACCATGGGCTTAAATTCACCCTTGGGCTAAACCCAGCCCAGATTTTAAACCACATGTGGAAATCATCCCCAGAAGCCTGTTCACACATGCGGTGTTAAACCCCTTCGCCCATGCACAGGCAGGACCCCAGGAACATTGAGGGCTGTGATGTGGGAAGCAAATGCTCCACAGAGCTGCCAACCCTCCATCTCCACCCCTAAGACATGCCAGTGAATTCCCTGCCTCCAACTGCACATTTCTGCAGCTCAGATGGGGAGAGAGGGAAAGGGGCCTGGATTCTTGCCCATTCCCCTCCTCCCTCGCATCTCCACACCTGACACTCAGGCCAAGGCAGCCTGCACTCACCTCCTGGGCAGCCCTGGCATGGAGCCCAACGTGGCCTCTCCACCAGCAGCTGCACGCAGCAGCTCCAGTGCCTGCTGCGCATCTTCCCGTGCCACCTTTGCAGCTTGGTCAATGGCATTGGCTGCTTGTGTGTGGCTGCAGAGCACAGAGGAGGCTTGTCAGAAATGGTTCCCACCCAAGTTTTCTCCACCAACTCCCTTTACTCATCATTCACTGAAGCTGGATCACACCCCCTTGGGAAGCACAGCATTTCTGTGAAAGGGACCCATATATTGCTTCTTCCTCTTGCATTTCCCAAGGATAGAGGAGCACTGGGGAGGGCAGAAGCTCTCTGTTCCAACTGGACATCCAAGGGCAAAGCTCTGATCCCAAAGATGCTTCTAAATCACATACTATTACATCCTCAAAGACAGCTGAGGACAACTCTATAGGGCAGCAAAGACAGACCAACAGCTGCATCTTCCCCTGCTCCAGTGCTGGCAGATGTCAACCAGAACCCTCCAAAAAGGACCTTCTGAGCACCTAGCAGGATCTCAGTCCTCCCCTCCCCTCCCCTCCCCCTCCC